GCAACTTAATGAATCCCTGTATCAAAAACTATAAATGGAAAAAAAAAACTATAAATGGATGGGAATGTAGTACAGTGGTAATGCCACCCTAGGTTAAATTCTAAGTACCAAAAAATAAAGTAGGTTGGAAGTAATAATCCAGTTCTTATATATCATTAATTATAATTATTAATCATTATATATTATATACCAGTTATAGGTATTCTACATCTGGGACAATGGAGCTAAATGGGTTGTGCCATGATCCATTCCCTAGGTGATTGTTTAAGTTCCATCCCAAATCAGCAAMCAAAACTTCACCTGAGAACTTGTAGAAATGCAAATCATAGGACTGGGGATGTGGCTCAAGCTGTAGTGCGCTCCTSGTCTGGCATGCGTGCGGCCCGGGTTCGATCCTCAGCACCACATACCAACAACGATGTTGTGTCCGCCGATAACTAAAAAATATTAAAAATTCTCTCTCCCTCTAAAAAAACTAAAAAAGAAAGAAATGCAAATCATAGTCCTAGAAGCATCCAGAAATAGCCCTCCCCATAATCTRATACATTCTCTGGTTGAAGAACCATTGCATGATTTTTGTTCCAAATCTAGTCAGTGGATAACCTGGTGGACAACTAACTGCTGGCAAAAATGAGATTTGAGATGAAATATTGGAAGGCAGTTTGGATAAATGGTTAAGTGAAAAAAGAACAATAGGATCACTAATTTTTATTTTTATTTATTTTTGTTTTTGTACTGAGACTTGAACCCAGAAGCACTCTACCACTTAGCAACATTCGTAATTCTTTTATTTCTTATTGTAAGACAAGATCTTGCTAAATTTCCTAGGCTGGCCTCAGGCAGATTCTCCTACCTCAGGCTCCCAAATATCTGGGATTACATCTGTAGGATCACATTTTTATAAAACAAAATTAATTAAAGGAAACAGAATGTTCCATGAGTTTGGGGGTAGGATTAGCAAGCCTAATGCCTTTTACATCCTACTATGCCTTTTATTTTTAAAGACAGAATTTTTTAGTTTTCGGTGGACACAACCTCTTTATTTTTAATTTTTTTAACGTGGCGCTGAGGATCAAACCCAGCGCCCCGGCATGCAGGCAAGCAGGCTACTGCTTGAGCCACATCCCCAGCCCCCTATTATGCCTTTCGAAAGCCAAGGAAATTAATACCAGGAGCTTTATTAGATATAGGAGGGAAAGCACTGTGTGGTCAAGTTTAACTGGGAACTGCTGTAGCTATAAAAATTCTCAACCCTCTTTCTTTTTTCKCTTTCCACATATTTTATTGGTGCATTATTGTTGTACACAGTGATGGAATGTGTTACATATTCGTACATAAACAATTTATATAACAATATAAATAAACCAATACCATTCCTCAGCACTTCTTCCCCCTGTCATTCTGAGTGGTGAGAGATGAAATCTCAGTGTAGTTTTGTTTTTTTTTTTCCCAATTGCTAATGATGTTGAACATTTTTTTCACATCTGGCCCCCCTTTTCAAAGAGGTTTTGTGCTTTTGCATCAGGGACAAATGTGTCTTATACGTCTACAGTGAAAAACTACAAATCATTTATGTATGGCCAGCATTTTCTTCAGCTTCATGGCTCAACTGTAACCGGCCCGGTCACAGAGGAGACATTTAGGGGCACCCAATTCTCAGGAGTGGTGGGAATCCTACTTGATAGCAGAATGAAGTACCCATGTAAGGAATTGAAAGTGCAAGYGGCCACACTGAAAGTCTGGGGTTTATGTGCCTGCAGTGCTTTGTACTTGGGGGGTTTGGGTAACCTTAAAACTTGCACTACTCATTTCTCTGCTAAACGAGGGGTATGCACCTCACGGCCTTAGATTTAAATCCTTCTAGGGGAATGGAATGCGGGTCAATGGTTGCAGCACTGTCTCACAGGCCTAGGCCTTAGGTTCCATTCCTAAGCACGACAAAAAAAAAAAAAAAAAAAAAAAATCCAAAGCACTCTCCAAAGTTTATCTTTCCCAACCCGCTGGCCAGCTTTCCAATTCTACAGCCTAGCAGTGCCGAGGTGGAGCAATGAAGAGCTATCCCCATTCCTATGTCACAGAGTCAAAGCTGACTGACCATTTAGGTCGGGTATTCTTTTCCCCCTTCCATACTGCGGCTGTTCTAGGACATTGCTGATGCCAAGTTCAAGTTCTTAGATTTTTTTTTTTTTTTTTTTTTTTTTTTTGCGGTGCTAGAGATAGAACCAGGGTCTCGCGCACAAGAGACAAGCTCTACCACTGAGTCACACCACCAGCCCAGTTCTTTGAACTTATCGCTCGTGGTCCATAGCGAGCTCCACCGACTGGACCAGCACAAAATCGAAGTATACAGTAATCTCAGCAACCGGAGGGCGGGAGGGGGTGTGGCCCTGGGGCGGAAGAGGCGGGGCTCTCGGCTCCTTCCCGGCATCGAATTCGTGGCGGGAAAAGCGGCCCCTTCAGAACCGCCTTACTTCTCCAACGGTGTCTTCGTGTTGGCAATGGAGCGGCATCTCCAGGAGCAAACTGCCGCAGAGTCGACGGACTCCGGAGGGGCAGGCAGGGCAGGCGGGCTGCCGCAGGTCGCCGGCGCCCAGGAGGCACGCAGCAACGACCGAATGACCCTGCTGCTCAGGTAGTTCCCTCCCGCCGCCTCCTCGGAGCCGAGTGGGCGCCCGGGCTCAGGACTCCTCTCCTTTCTCCTCTGTAAGACCAGGGTTCGAATTAGGACGCGGTCACTTAATGGCTTCGTTACTCACTGCAATATTCACTTAAACTCTTTAGTGTCTTTCTTCTGCGAAAAGTAGAGAAATTGACACCCTCCTGGGAGAGATGCTAAGGGTGTTTAATTGAGACCCTCTGGAAGTGTTCAGCCCAGAGTCTTTAGGAAGCTCCTCTGGAGCTGCAACTTTCCCCACCCTTTCTCCCAGCTCACGCCCTGGGGCTCCCAATTTTTCTGGCAAGTTGAGGGACAAGGGCTGGGGATGTAGCTCAAGCGGTAGCGCGCTCGCCTGGCTTGCGCGGGGCGCTGGGTTCGATCCTCAGCACCACATAAAAATAAAATAAAGGTTTTGTGTCCACCGAAAAACTAAAAAATAAATATTAAAAATCCTCTCTCTCTCTCTCTTAGAAAAAAAAAAGATGAGGGACACACCCAGGCCAAATACAGGAAAGAAGATGTCCCACCCCTTTTCAAAAACATTGTTTTTGTTGCTGCATTATAATTATACGTACTACTGGGATTCATTGTGACATATTCATACATGCATATAACATAATTTGATAAATCTTAACTTTTAAAAATATTTTTAGTTGTAGATGCACACTTTATTTTATTTGTTTATTTTTATGTGGTGCTGAGTGAGGATCAAACCCAGTGCCTCACATAAGCTAGGCAAGCACTCTACCACTGAGCTACAGCCCCAGCCCCATCTTAACTTCTTTTAGAGGAGTACCTAATAGATGGTAAATTTTGACCACGATGCTTCTAGTCTGGAGAGGTCTCCCCCAGTTCTGCTAGTGCACATGTGGATCCTTCCATTGTCCCTCCCAGTCTGCTTTTTTTTGGCATCTGGGAATGTGGGCCCAGGCCTTGTCCTGGATCTTCCAGATGTCACTGAAACCTGAGGTGCCCTAGCCATCGAGAGGCACCTCCCCGGGACTTTAAGGCCCCACCGAAGAGCCAGTAGCAGCTGCTGTCTGGTGTCCTCTCTGAGAGTTCCAGTGGTGGGCAAGAGAGACTCCCAGCATTCTGGATGCCAAGAGGCTGCATCTAAAGGCGATGTTGCCCCCAAAAAGCCAGGTGCAAGGCTTCAGATCTCCCCCACCCCTTTCTTTTATGGCCTTGACCCTTTGTAGTTCTAAAGCTTCATTTGTTATGTGTACCAAGAGGATTGGTTTGTGCTTTTCCATTAAGCAGTTGGTAGGGAAGATTTGATGACAAGAGACATCAATCTTCTAAAAAAAAGTGGGTTGACTAAGGCCCTAGGCCATATCCACCCTGCAGGTTTTTTTGTTTTTGTGGTGTGTGTGTGTGTGTTTGTCCTCTGAAACTAAGAATATTTTGTCATGTATGCTTGCAACTCAGAAGGCTGTGACAGAAGGATTGCAAATTTGAGGCCAGCCTCAGCAATTTAGGGAGGCCCTAAACAACTTAGCAAGACCCTGTCTCAATCCCTAGTACCAAAAGAAGAAGAAAAATAGTATGTTTCTCCATTTAAATGGTTGTGGGGGGCACCCTGAGGTTGTGGCTCAGTGGTAGAGGGCTTGCCTAGCACTGGGTTCAATTCTCAGCACTGCATATAAATAAAAAATTAAAGGTCCATTGACAACTAAATATATATGTGTGTGTATATATATATATATGAAATGGTTGGCAGGAAATCACAAGAATATTTCATAATATGGAAATTATATGAAATTTAGATTTCAGCACTCATAAGTAAAGTATTATTGGAACACAACTTTCCCATTACAAGGGTGAAGCTGAGTCCTTAAGACAGACCATAGGACTCCCAAAGTTTAAACTATTTGCTGAGTGGTCCTTTTTTTTTTTTCTCTCTCCTGGTAGTGCTGGGGATTGAACCTAAGGCCTTGCACATGTGCCAAGCCAGTGCTCTACCACTGGAGCTATATTCCCAGCCCTGTAGACCTTTATTCTAAATCATAACAAGGATATTTTGCCTTAAGAATTGTTGTTATATTTTAGCATTACATTGCTTCAAAAGGTCTTGACTACTCAATAAATTTTACACCCTCCTTTTTAGCATTCCCTCCAAAACTGGGTATAGTGGAGCACCCTTGATTTTGTTTGTTATTATTGTTTTTCTTTTATTTTTAAACTGTGCTGGGAATAGAATCCAGGGCCTCCTGCATGCCAGTCAAGCACTCTACCACTGAGCCACATCCTGACTTAGTGGAACATCCTTATAATCCCATCTACTCTGGAGGGAGACTGAGGCAAGAGGATTGCAAATTTGAGGCAATTTAGGGAGATGCTGTATTTTGTTGAGGATTGGGAATGTAATTCATTGGCATAGTGCTCTTAGGTTCAATCTCCAGTACTGTAAAAATTTTCTCCTGCCCACAATTAAAATAATTATATTAAAAATGTAAGATTTTTTTTTCATTTCAGCTAAGAAAGGAATTATTCTTCCATTGTATCTTATAGAATGCTAGTCTACTTACCTTTAAGAAATTGCTCTTTTTATTTGGAATTTTGAAACATTAGTAATTTGCCATAGAGTTTTAGGAATTTGTCAAATGTCTCTTAGCTAATTAAATAGCTCTCCAAAGTCTCAATACAGTTTCAGAATTATGCAACTATCATGCAAATGTGTTTTGTAAATACAACTTAATAACTATCATTTTGCCCATAGCTTTTCTATTTATTTTATGTTTGATTTTTGGATTAAGGAAAATAATAGAACTAAGAAACTTTTCTCTATGAATTATTTAATTGTTCATGGAATAGTATTTTTGTGTTTTTCTCTATTTTTTGAGAATGTTATAATGTTTATGTGTAAACTGATTACAGTGTTCTTAGGTTTCATCGCTATGGTCTACATTTGTGTGCATGCGTGTGTGTGTGTGTGTGTGTGTGTGTGTGTGTGTATGCAGCAGTTTTCATTAAGCCCCATTTCTATCTAGCTTATTAAGAATAAATTTTAAAAGTAAATTTTAAACTTTTTCTCACAGATGCTGTTTTCCCACTGTATTTAATTTTGTGTCTTACTCTGAGTCCTTAAAGTTCCTTGTGCCTATTTTAAATAATATGAGGACAAACTGAAAGACTTTAATGCTGAGTTTCTTTATTTATGCTCATTTTGTTATATCAGCTTTTAGTGAAGATAAATTTGTTTATTGTATGACCATGAGTAAAACCTCAATCCATAATAGATGACTTTCTGTTTTCTTTATTTTCAGGCTGAGAGCACAGACAAAACAACAACTCTTAGAATATAAGTCAATGGTTGATGCATGTGAGTAATTTCATTTTCAAATAAAGTTTTGGGAGTTTGATGATGAATATTACTCTAGGGAAAAGAAAATCAACTTTATAAAAATTTATTTATGTATATTCTAGTGTAGCAAAACAAGTAAACAAAGAGACATGCAAGGTAAAGTATGGTACTTGTAAGGAAGGAATAATGGAATAAGAGAGAGAGAGATTATATTAGACAGGGTGCTAGGTATGTCTTCTCTGAGAAGATGGTTTTAGAGGTAGTCCAAATGATGAATCCCCTTTTCTTATAGTCCTTGTTTTCCCTGTGAGATAATTTCATTAAAACATCTGAAAATTTGGGTGGTTTAATAGTCCATAGTAAAAAATTACTACAATTAAAGGAGAGGACAGATTTAAAGCAGGCCATACAGGATGTTTCATTGTAATCTTTGAAAGTGGATACTTAAAGCCAAACTCATATATTTTCTCTCATATGTGGAAGCTGGGGAGGAAAAAATGGGTGGGGGGGTGGAGATCTCATGAAAATCAAGGGAGATCAGTATAGTAAAGGAAAGAGACCAAGGGAAGGGAGGAGAGAAGGGAAAGGGGAAGTACTGGAGAATGATATTAGCCAAATCATATTGTTATATTGTATGCATGTACAAATATATAATGAGTCCCACCATTATAGTAATTATGATGAATTAGTAAAAATAAATGGGAAAGGTGCTGGGGCTGTAGCTCAGTGACAGAGCACTTGCCTAGCACATATGAGGCCCTGGGTTAAATCCTCAGCACCACATAAAGATAAATAAATTAAATAAAGGTATTGTGTCCATATACAACTACAAAAAAAAAAATCTTAAAAAAAATAAATAGGGGCTGGGGTTATAGCTCAGTGGAAGAGTGCTTACCTAGCCTGTGTGAGGCACTGGGTTCGATTCTCAGCACCACATAAAAATAAATAAAATAAAGGTCCATTAACAACTAAAAAATATTTTTAAATAAATAAATGAGAGGAAAAAAGTTGGAAAAAAAGAGAGAAAGAAGATATTTAATCCTAGCTATTTGGGAGGGTAAGGTTGGAGGATTGCAAATTGAGCCCAGCCTGAGCAACATAGCAACACCCAGTATCAAAAAGAAAAACAAAGATATTTATATGAAATGATTCTTTTATCATTTTTTAAAAAGATGCTACATCGGAAGTATATTATTGACAGAGCACATGCTTACCATGCTCAAGACCATAATACTGATCCCCAGCACACACACAAAATTAAAAATCAAAAGTAAAAAATATTACTGACTTAATTGATTAAAGGATTTATTTTTATTTTTACAATAAAGGCATTTATTTTAAGAGTATAAGTTGATGGGTTTTGACAAACATATGCATCTGTGTAACTGCTACAGTTGCGATATAAAACATTTCTCTTGTACCAAAAGATTCTCTGTGCCACTTCATGGTCAGTCCCCCCTCTAAACCCCAGTAATGATCAGTTTGATTTGTCTTCTAGAATTTGTGTTGTCCAGCAGAGTAGTCACAAGAGACAGGGTCTCACAAAGTTGCTTAGGGCCTCACTAAATCACTGAAGCTGGCTTTGAACTAGCAGTCCTCCTGTCAGTGCACATGTGGGTTTTTAAGTTAATTAAAATTTAAATTTACAAGTAAATTCTTTAGTTGTACTAGTCACATATCAAATGCTCAATAGCCACATGGGGCTAGTGGCTACTCTGTTGGACATCATAGACATAAAACTTTTCCATCATCATGGAAAGTCCTTAACTCTTGTTTTTCTGTTCCATTAAGGTATTTGTCTGTCCTTATACAAGTACCACACTGTCTTGATTGATGTAGCTTCATAGTAAGTCTTGATATCAGTTACAATATGTCCTCCAACTTGGTGGTCCTTTTTCAAAATTGTTTTGCTATTCTAAATCCTTTGGTTTTCTACATACATTTTAATATTAGTTTATTAATTTCTACCCCCAAAAAAGAATTTTGAATAGCATTTGAATGGGATCTAAACATCAGTGTGAGAAAAACTGTTATATTAGCACTATGGATTCTCTTAATGCATAAACATTGTGTGTCTATACATTTGGGTAGTTAGTAGTGTTTAGTGCAGAGGTCATAGTTTTGTAAACTTATCCTTATGTTTCATGGTGTTGAATGCCATTGTTCATGATAATTTTTAATTTGAAAATCTAGTTGTTGCTAATATGTAGACCTACATTTGATTTTTTTTCCAGTGCTGGGGATCAAACTCAGGGCTTTGCATATGCTAGCTGAGCATTCCACCTTTAAGCTATACCCCCAGTCTCCCACACTTGATTTTTTTACATTAAATACCTTATTCATTTTTTATTCCTTTTTATTTTTATCATTCTAAAACTGGTCTGTCCAATATGTTAACCACTAACTCTGTGCAGCTCTTGAAATGTGGCTAGTCCTCATTGAAATGGGCTATAAATGTAAAAAAGAATGTCAAATGTTTCATTAGTAATTTTAAAGTAATTGCATGCTAAAATAAAATTTTGGTTTTATCAAGCTAAATAAATACATTAAAATTATCACTTGGGGGGCTGGGGATGTGGCTCAAGCGGTAGCGCGCTCACCTGGCATGTGTGCGGCCCAGGTTCAATCCTCAGCACCATGTACAAACAAAGATGTTGTGTCTGCTGATAACTAAAAAATAAATATTAAAAAAATTCTCTCAGGGCTGGGGTTGTGGCTCAGTGGTGGAGTGCTTGCCTAGCATGCATGAGGCACTGGGTTCAATCCTCAGAACCACATAAATGTAAAATAAAGATATTGTGTCCACCTAAAACTAAGAAATAAAATAAATATTTTTAAAAAATTCTGTCGCTCTCACTCTCTCGCTCTCTCTTTAAAAAAGAAAAATTATCACTTGGGAATGTGGCTCAGTGGTTAAGTGCCCTGAGTTCAATCCCCAGTTCCAAGAAAAAGGGGGGGAATATAATATCACTTGTTTCTCATTATTTTTGTAATATGAAAGTTGATTTTTTTTGGCAGGGGGTGGGGGGTGAGAGTAGAGGATTACTGGGAATTGAACCCAGAACATTTTACCACTAAGCTACATCCTTAGACCTTTTTTTGTTTGTTTGTTTTGAGACAAGGTTTCACTAAGTTGCTGAATGGTAGCTGATTTTTAAAATTACTTCTTTTGGGAGTGGGAGTATAGTTCAGTGGTTGAACATGTGCTTAACATTTGATCCCCAAGACCAAAAAAATAAAATAAAATTACCCTTTTGCAGTCATAGTTTATATTACATTCCTTTTGAACAGCACTGTTCTAAACTATTACTGACTTCAAAAAATTATTTATTTGTAGATGAAGAAAAAACTCCAGAACAAATCATTCAAGAAAACCAAATTGAAGCGTATGTCATATTTTAAAATTTTATTTGTGGTTTTTACTAAGAATTAATCATGTTATCCATGTTATAGAATTGTCTTTCTTTTTTCTTTTATTTATTTTTTCCAAATAACATGTCATGCATTTATCAGGAAATTGTTAATGTGGAATGAAAACTTAAATGTAGATGAGTGTTCACTGGCATTCCCTCTTATAAGATACTATGCAAGTAGCTCAGAAAGTATCAGTTTACCAAATCTGTTAATATGTATAGATAAGTTGAGCTTGAAGAATATTTCTATTCCAATAGAGGTGCTTTGCTTTTCTCAAAGTCTTAATTTACATACTTATTTCAATTGACTTTTTCTGATGTTGCTGAAATAATTTTGTTCGTGTTCCTTTAATAGTAAAGTTGAAGACCTAGAAAATGAAATTGAAGAGGTAAAAATTGCCCTTGAAATGAAAAATCTTGCGTTAGCCAGGTAATTGTGTCTTTTTTTTTTTTTAACCCCCCACACAAAAACCTTTATTTACAGTTGAAATTTTAAACACAGACAATCGTGATTCTGAATCTGAAACTTCCAGGGTCTCTGGATCAAATGGGGTCACATCACATCAGGCAGGAGAGCAAACACAAAGGCCAGTCTAGCTTCTCTGACTCAAGAATCTTACTCAGAGCAAGGGACAATCTGAAATGGCAGAAAACTCGAGGTCAGCTGAGAATGGGGAGATAAGCAGCCCAAGGGAACAGAAAGGCAACATTCCATGATAAATAATGCTTCCAGCTCTCCTCTACACTTCTCCAGAATGAGGATAAAACCAGTCCAGCTCTTTGACATCAGTCCGACCTTTAGTTCCTTATGAAATGAATGGAATTCAAGCTTAACTGGTACCAACACATCTTGCATAATCTTTCACTACAGGAAGGTATGTCTCCAGGTAATTCCAGAATGGGGGATAGTGTCTTCTATACCTCAGTCATTCAAATAGCACCTTCGGAGCTGGGGATATAACTCTGTAGCAGAACGCTTACCTAGCATGAGCAAATCCTGGGTTTTGATTCTTAACACTGATTCAGTCAGTCTGGTCTACATCCCCCCACACTATGAGATTGCCACAGGCAGCTTGGACTTACTGTTGGGGCCTGTGGAAACATTCTCAATCTTTCTCATCATAAGAGGTCCATCAATGATTTTTCTAAACACTACATGCTTCCCATCCATCCAATCACACTTAAAGCAGGTGATAAAGAACTGACAACCATTTATACTGGGGCTACTGTTTGCAATGGAAAGGCCTGGAGCTGAGTGCCTACCTTTAAATTTTCAGCTGCAAATGGCCCCAGATAAATACTGGCAATTCCAGTACCATCTTCATTAACAAAATCTCTACCCTGAATCACGAAGTCTTTTATAACCCTGTGGAAGGTGCTCCCTTTGTATCCTTTTGGCACCTCATGTTTTCTGTTCTCTAGTGCAGAACTGCCTAAAGTTCTTGGCTGTCCATATACAGCTGGATCTTCACGTGGCCAGCCTTCTACAAATGGTAGGGGATGGTGTGAAGCACCAGTTCATTTGAAGCACTAATCTACAATGTGCGAAGGGCTCATGGAGCTACCCCAGCTCCATGCCGCTTGGCCTCTCCCACTCCTGTCTGCCTAGCTTAACTTTTCATCCTGCCCAGTCCCTCTAATTATTACATTTTTAATGTAGGCATTATGAACTGAATAAAAAATGGTTATGGGTTCAAGGTGGAAAGAATTTTTAAACAAGATTAAATGAATTAGTCCAATCATTAGTTAAATGATGATTATTACAAATTTTGAATCCTGAGAGAAAAGTTACATTTTTCCTTAATATCTTCCTTTGAAGAAGTTATGTAGGATACAGTTAATGAGGAAACTTCATTTAAGAAAATGGAAATATGAGATTTAATCTCATTTGGTATTTGAAAGGATTACATAGATTTTTTTTAACGATGCTTTAATTACTTAGTGTGTCAAAAGGAAAGAGATAACTACTATTGCTGAGTTGATTGCCTTTTTATTATTAGCTACTTGAGTTTAAAAGTAATTTACAGCAGYATGTTTTAAAGTTTATGGTCAAACATGGTTTTGTATTTTTATAAGCGTCCCCATTTCAGAACCACGCTGATCCCACCAAAGTGGATGGTGTAGAAAATTCATCCAGCTCAAGATGGATTCAGACTCACTTGGCCTCAGCCTCACAATGCACAACTATGTGCTACAGCCCTGTTCATCTTGGCATTATTTCATGTTTCTATTTTACTCCTCAAAGTATTTCTTTTGGAATGCTGTTTAAAAATCTACTTACATTTTACATATATCTTAAGAAAAATCCATCTTTAACTTGTGTTAAAAATCCATCTTTAATGTGTGTTTTTAATGTATCATAAATGTTATCCATGTTTGATAATACAGGCTTTTTCCTTCTCAGGATGCAACTGTCAACTGCACTTAAAAAAAACCTGGAAAAAAATGACACCATGAATAGGTATGATTTTCTTCCCCTGACTATGGGTTTGGAAAGGAAGGGAATAATTAGGTAGTTTTACATATTGCTTTTAGTTTTGTGAATTTTAAAAAATTGACTGTCAATGTTAGCCACTTTTAACTAGGAAATTTAAAAAAGATTAAAAGATGGAATTTTTATAGGCTCTCCCTGGGATTACAAATTTTATAGTCCTGTTGACATCTTTTTCCAAATGGATTATGGCTGTAAGAAGCAAGTTGCATACAGAAGACCTGAAAAATTTGAAGGTTTTGACAGTTAACATTTATTTAGTGTTAACTATTATCCAGGAACAATACTATCTTACTTAATCTAACAACAACTCAGTGAGATAAGAAATATATTTCTCATTTTTCATTGGTAGAAGTGAGCTTATTCAGATTAAAGAGTTTGCCAAGGAAGTTAAAATAAACACTCTGGCTGTGAAAGTCTTCTATAACCTGTTCCCAAGAATTTGGCTCCAGACCTTACCTGTGATCTTACCCCTCAAATCTATAAATATCTTAAGATAAAATACACCTTCCATTAGCACTGAAGAAGTTCCAAGATGGATCTGAACATTTTACTGAGTGTCTTAGTTTAGACTAATTTGCATTCCTCCAATATTCTAGATAACTCTCAGATTTAAAAATCCTAAAATCTGAATTTAGGTTTTCTGGACTATTGTTCTTCCATAAAAGAGAGCTTAAAACATTCTCAAGATAGTTGGTTGGGGTACAGAACAGATTCATCATATGATACTCAAAGACCACAGAAAGGTCAAACAGGCCAAGACAGTGCCTTTAACATGTTTTAAAATTTATAACTATTTCAAAAAATTAACTGGAGCTGGGTGTGGTGATGCACACCTTTAATCCTAGTGACTTAGAAGGCTTACGGCAGAAAAATCACACGTTTGAGACCAGCCTCAGCAATTTAATGAGGTCCTGAGAACTTAGTCTCAAAATAAAAAATTAAAAGGGCTGGGGATGTGGTTCAATGATCAAGTACCCCTGAGTTTAGTTCCCAGTACAAAAACTCATTAACTGGAACACCATTAGTTTGAACATCTCTAGCACCTAGGGCTCTAGTGCCTTGGGTTTTTTTTATGTAAGCAAACAAAAGCCCAATGTAAACAGTGAAAGAAAATACTTACTCTCTCAGAAACCACTAATTAACCTTTAACTAAAGACTTTTTTTTTTTTAGTTGTCAATGGACCTTTATTTTTTTATTTATATATATATATATATATGTGGTGCTGAGAATCGAACCCAGTGCCTCATACATGCTAGGCAAGTGTTCTACCACCGAGCCCACAATCCCAGCCTATAACTAGAGACTTTTGACTTTGACCAACCAAATGTATTTTCTTTGACTTGCTTTGGTGAACACTGACATTTCCTCCACTTGTTGTAACTAATGTAAAAATGAGTTCACCTTTCCCAGGTCATGCGAAGGTTCTCCTTTTTGAGCTCTCTAAGTTTCTTAGTGTTTTACCCACCTGTCTGACTATCAGAATAATTGGAATTGTCACAGTAATCACATTGCTAGTCATAGCCCAATCCTACTGTCACAGTCTTTGAAAGTGGGAGTTGAGGAGTCCATATTTAACAAGCCTCCCAAGTGACTATGGCATTTTGAAGCATGAGAACCACTGCTTTATCCAGTCTTATTCCACACTTTTTATTCCAGCCATACCAAACTACCTGATCTAGGTAATTACTGCACATTTTTTAAGATTCAAGGATTTCCCTTCTTTGTCATTTGCATAACTCTGGTTCATATTTACTACTGCTATATACTATGGTTGTAGATTTATGTTTCTCCCCCACTGGGTTCTTTCCTCTTTGAAAATATATACTGTGTTTTGTTTTATTTTACATCCTGGTGTATGGCATAGTTCTTCCCAAGTAGTAAGCACTCAGAAACATTTTTTGAAGAAACAAGAATTGAAAGTAACTCATTGCCAGGCACTGTGGTGCACGCCTGTAATCCTGTGGCTCCGGAGGCTGAGACAGGAGGATCAAGCGTTCAAAGCCAGACTCAAAAACAGCGAGGCGCTGAGCAACTCAGTGAGACCCTGTCTCTGAATAAAAATCAATATCGAGCTAGGGATGTGGCTCAGTGGTCAAGTGCCCCTGAGTTCAACCCCTAGTACTCCAAAAAAATAAGATAAAAATAATTCCAGTTACTTCCCAAAGGCCCCAATGTCTAAACACTGTTATTAAGTTTCTAATAGGCTCTGGGTGAGGTGGCTTATGCCTGTAGTCCAGAGACTCTGAGGCAGGGGGATCACAAGTTCAAAGTCAGCAATTTAGCAAAGCCCTAAGCAATTTAGTGAGACCCCTCTTAAAATAAAAAATAAGAAAAAGGGCTGGGGATGTGGGTCAGTGGTTAAGTGCCTTTGGGTTGAATCCCTAGTACCAAAAAAAAAAAAAAAAAAAAGTTTCTAAACAGTGAACCTTTATAAATTACACTGAAACTATGGTCCTAAGAGCTGGAGATGTAGTTCAGTTGTAGAGCATTTGCCAAGCATGCTGGAACCTTGGAACCATTGAACCTTGTTCAATACCAGTACCACAAAAAACAACAAACCAAAAAACTGTAGCAGTATTCTACATTATACTTTAATGGTGAATACATATCATCACACATTTGTCAAAACACATTTAAAAGACCAAATGAACTTTCACGTCAACTATGGACTTTAGTTAAAGATGAGGTATCAGTGCAGTTTTATTAACTGTGACAAATGCACCACCTGGTGGTGGGGAGGCTGAGTTTGTGTGGGGACAGAGTATACAAAGTATAAGTCTTTTTCTTCCTAAATATGGAATATTTAGAAATATTCATTCTTTAATTCAATATTCTTATCTGGGACCACAATTTTTTCTAGGGAACGCATCCATAATTTTAAGAAATTTAGTTTACATCAAACTTTTCCAGATTTGTTTTGTAAGTAACAGCTTTCTCCTTGTAGGGGGTTCAATAAAAGTAAACATACACTAATTGATGCCTACATTAATGAGATATATTTATTATTTTTAGTTAAATATAATCATATTTTTTATTCCTTTGCAGTGTGCTCATGGATAACATGAAACACATATTAAAGCTGAATAAGTTAATAATGAAATCACAGCAGGTAAACTTGCACATTGGGCTACTATGCATTCTCATGTTTTCAGAGACAACTTTTTGTTGATAACTGTATCATATGTTTAAAAAAGATTGGGGGCTGGGATTGTGGCTCAGCAGGAGAGTGCTTGCCTAGCATGGGTGGGACCCAGGTTCGATCCTCAGCACCCATAAAAAAATAAAGACATTGTGTTGTGTCCATCTACACCTAAAAAATAAATATTAAAAAAAAAAAAAAAAAGGATTGCCCAAAGAAGGCTGGGTTGTAGCTCAGTGGTAGAGCGCTTGCCTCACATGTGTGAGGCACTGGGTTTGATCCTTGGCACCGCATAAAAATAAATAAAATAAAGATATTATGTTCATCTACAACTAAAAAATAAAAATAATAATAATAAAAAAAGATTGCCCAAAGAAAGCTGGGCTTGTTGGTGCACACTGTAATCCCAGTGGCTCAGGAGGCTGAAGCAGGAGAATCACAAGTTCAAAGCCATCCTCAGCAACTTAGCAGGGCCCTAAACAACTTAGCAAGACCGTGTCTCTAAATAAAATATAAAAAAGGGCTGGGGATGTGGCTCAGTGGTTAAGCACCATTGGGTTTAATTAGTTTTTTAAAAACTCTTTTTTTTAAATATTTTTTTTTTTAGTTGTAGTTAGACACTTTATTTATTTTTATGTGGTGCTGAGGATCAAACCTAGGGCCTTGCACATGCTAGGCAAGTGCTCTATTGCTGAGCCACAACCCCAGCCCCTTTTTCATAACTCTTATTGCCAACAAATGATACAAATGATCAACATATAATTTAAACTACTATCTTCTCCCTTTTGTTGTATGAAGTAGAAGAATTGAAAATGGAAACTTTAGAAAACATGGATAGATGAAATTCAGTAATTTAAGTATTTTAGATTTATTCTTAAATAATATGCTTTAATCTTTTTATTTTAATAACAGGAATCTTGGGAATTAGAGGAAAAACTGCTTGATGTTAGAAAGAAGAGATTACGTATGTAGAATACTTTTTGTTGTTTTGATAAAACACATTTTTACCTACTTTGGAAATTGATAAGGCCAGATCTCTCAGCTACTGAGAAATTTTTTGTTGGTATGTGGTGCTGGAGGATCGAACCCGGGCCGCACGCATGCCAGGCGAGCGCGCTACCGCTTGAGCCACATCCCCAGCCCATAAGAAATTTTTTAATTTTTAAAATTTTGAATGTGGAAATTTTAAACATATGAAATATATTTGCGTATTTATTCTTGTGGTTTAGAACTTTAAATCATAAAAATTAATACATTCTTAGTGGGGGGAAATCGAATGATACAGAAAATTATAATGCAAAAGTCATGCTTCCTTCCCATGTGATCTCAGTCTGATACATGTCATTAGAGATCTTCCTTCAGGCCCAAAGAAAATAGTTATATATGCTAAGCCCAGTGGAATTTGCCTATAATCCCAGCTACTCAGGAGGCTATGGCAGGAGGATCACAAGTTCAAGGCCAGCCTGGGCAACTTTATTGAGACTCTGTCTCAAAAGAAAAAATAAATAAAAAGGGTTAGGGATAGGGGAATATAGCTCAGTGGTAGAGTACCCCAGATTCAATCCCCAGTACTGGGGGATGGAGATATATATATATATATATATATATATATATATATATAATAATTATTATTTTTTTTAGTTGTTGATGGACCTTTATTTTATTCATTTATTTATATGTGGTGCTGAGAATTGAACCCAGTACCTAACACATGCAAGGCAAATGCTCTACTGTTGAGCCATAACCCCAGCCCCCAAAATATAGATAATTTCTAAATAAACAGTTGATACATATGGTTCTATAGCCTTTCACTTAATTTATGATGACATGAGGTAGCTTTTTGCATTGAAACTATTAAAATGTTTATTTCAAAAGTAATATACATTCTCTATAGAAAATTTAGAAAAAGGTGAATATATATAGAAAAGGTTAATTTTTTTTCTTCAATCATCAAGAGATAATCTTTAATTCAGGCTGGGGATGTGGCTCAACTGGTAGCGCATTTGCCTGGCATGCGTGCAGCCCAGGTTCAATACTCAGCACCACATACAAACAAAAATGTTGTGTCCCCCGAAAATTGAAAAATAAATGTTAAAAACTCTCTTTCTCTCTCTCTCTCAAAAAAAAAAATCTTTAATGCATATTTCTTTTTTGAAATATTTTTTTTAGTTACAGATGGAAAAAATACCTTTATTTTATTTGTTTATTTTTATGTGGTTCTGGGGATTGAACCCAGTGTCTCACACATGCTAGGTAAGTGCTCTACCACTGAGCCACAACCCTGGCCCCAATGCATATATTTTTTTTTTAATTGGCATCAATGTCAAAGATTAAACCCTTTGAGATATACCCATTTATACTTTCAAATTGGTAGTTTAATTCTCAGAACTTTTGGGGGATATACAAAAAAATTGTTCATGATATTTGTCCCTAGAGAAGGGGATCTTATTTTTTATTTAAAATTTAGCATATGTGTCATTTATGTAATTAAAGGGGGAAAAGTATTTGCTTTTATTTATAGGTATCGCCTGCCTATGTTGACAACCTAGAGTAAGTTCTCTTTTACATCATGCCACTTCAAATGACAGCTGTTATTGTTGTACATAAATATTTTGAACATTTCACTGAGGACATTGTTCAACAAAATTAAAATATTGCTGGGGATGATAGTAATCCAACTACTCTAGAGGCCAGTAATCCCAACTACTCTTGAGGCTGAAGCAGGAGGATCACAAATTCCAGGTAGCCCTGGGTAATTTATTGAATCCCTGTCTCAAAATAAAAGTTAAAAATGTACAGGTACCAGACATGGTGACACACACCTATAATCCTTGTAATTTGGGAGGGTGAGGCAGGAGGATCACAAGTTCAAGGCCAGCCTCAGCAATTTAGCAAGACCCTGTCTTAAAATAAAAAGAGCTGAGAATGTGACTTAGTAGTTAAGCACCCTGGGCTCAATCCCCCACCCAAAAAAGGGTAGGGGATAGTGGACGTAGCTCAGTTGTAGAGATTACTTTCCTAGCATGCAAGAGGACCTGAGCTCAATTCCCAGTACCGCCAAAAAAAAACTAATTTAAAATACTGTTATTTTGTACCAGTAAAGTCATTTTCAGATCAAAATAGAACTGTAGCCTAAAATGCTGTTTATTAAAATTTTTCTTTTGTGTAGAATAACAAATAAATATTCTACTTCATAATTTCTGAGCCCTTTGTTTATAGAATTGTCATATATAGTATGTTGTTTTATTTTTACCTAATAGAATTAAAACAAGCTTCAGAAAGTAAGCTTTTAGAAATACAAACAGAAAAGAACAAGCAGAAAGAAGATCTGGACAATGTGGAAAATTCAGACAAGATAAAGGCCATGCAAAAAAACCTACAGAAAGAAATACAAATTACTACAGTTATTCAACATGTGTTCCAGGTAACATTTATATAAATTAGGAGAGAAGGTGTAAATAATATTTTTATAGTATTGACTTATTTTATTTAGTTTTTGATCCTAGTAAATAATTCAGTACTAGTGCTGAGGATGGTCAATAACTCTGGATCATTGAGCCATAGTTTTTCAAAGAAAAACAACCAGAACTTTTATTGAATATGACCCTAATTATGCCTCTTATCTACCACAAAAATATTGTCAACTTTTTAGAGAGTCTTGAAACATTTCAAGGGCTGAGCACTAGGTCTTTTATCTCTTTTGAAAATAAGGCTTATTACTTATGGGTAAGTTATTGCCTTTCATCATACTAGTACAAAGTGAACTCTGAACCACATCCATAGTCTTTTTTCCTCCAGTCTAGGATAGCATTACAAGTATCCTTAACAAGTAAAAGCTTATGCATTGTAATTTTTGTCTAGCATTATAGGAATCAAGGCAGCCCTACTGAAAATAGGAATAAAGACACAAGAATGTACTACCATTTTTCCTCATGATCACAGAGCTACATACCAAATAATGTTCAATAGATAAGATAGTGAAAGGATATTTTTAATTTTATTAAATTTTTAAAAGTACCTATAACTTAAAAAAATTTTTTTTTCTTATTATAGAACCTCATTTTAGGAAGTAAAGCTAACTGGGCAGAGGATTCTGCCCTCAAGGAAACTGTTCTACAACTTGAGAAGAATCTCACCATGATGTAATTAAAAATCTGTTTGGCAAATTTCAAGTGAAATATATTTCAGTGTTTTTGAAACCATTCTAATGCTGCAATTTTTTTAGCTTGAATTAACCCTATATTATGGAATCTGTTTTATATGTGATTATTAAAGTGACAGACATATTCTTTTTTTTTTAAATATTTATTTTTAGTTATAACAATATCTTGATTTTATTTTTATGTGATGCTGAGGATCAAACCCAGTGCCTCATGCATGGTAGGCGAGCACTCTACCTCTGAGCCACAACCCCAGCCTGTGACAGACATATTTTAAAGGTGTCCAAAAATCTTTGCTTTGGGAGAGAAGACATTTGGTCCAACTTCTGTTTAATGTGGATATTTTCAACATTCTTGATAGTCCCACTTCTTATTTGAAATACTTAGGTTCATTTATACATGTAGTTTTTGGTTTTGTTACAGTGCTAAGGATGGAACCCGAGGTCTCACACAGGCCCAGCAAGTATTCTACCTCTGAGCCACAACCCCAAGTCATATGCATTTGTTTATCAAACAAAATAGTAGAAAAAAAGTATAAGTGTTAACAGTTGTGATTATTTGTAGTAGGATTTTTTTTTTTTTTTTTAAGACTTGACTCCTTCTGGGCTGGGGTTGTAGCTCAATAGTAGAGCGCTTGCTTCACACACGTGAGGCCCTGGGTTCGATCCTCTGCCCCCATGTAAAAATAAAGACATCATGGGGCTGGGGATGTGGCTCAAGCGGTAGCGTGCTCGCCTGGCATGCGTGCGGCCTGGGTTTGATCCTCAGCACCACATACCAACAAAGATGTTGTGTCCGCCGAGAACTAAAAAATAAATATTAAAAAAAATTTTTTTTTAAATAAAATAAAGACATCGTGACAATCTACAACTAAAAAAAAAAAAAAGACTTGGGGATGGGGTTGTGGCTCAGTGGTAGAGTGCATGCATGAGGCACTGGGTTCGATCCTCAACACCACATAAATGTAAAATAAAGATATTGTGTCCACCTAAAACTTAAGAATAAATATTTTTTAAAAAAGACTTGACTCCTTCATTTATTATTATTTGTTTGTTTTTGGTGGTGCTGGGGATTAAACCCAGGACCTTGTGCATGCTAGGCAAGCACTCTAGCAACCTGAGTTATCCCCAGCCCTGTAGTAGGATTTTTAAAAAATATTTTTGGTTGTAGATGGACACAATACCTTTATTTTATTTATTTATGTGGTGGTGCTGAGGATTGAACCCAGTGCCCCACACATGTGAGACAAGCACTGTAGAGTGAGCTACAACCCCAACCCATGTAGATTTTGATTTTCCTATCTCCCTCTCTTCCCCCACTTCTCTCTCTCCTTTTTTTTTTTTAATTATTATTGTTACTTTTTGTTTTTTGATATTAGGGATTGTTTAGTTTTTATTTTTATTTATTTTTTTGTACTGAGGATTGATCCAGGTTTGCTTTTACCACTGAGCTATATCCCCAGCCCATTCTTATTTTGAGACAAGGTCATGTTAAGTTGCTTAGGGCCTCACTAAATTACTTAAGCAGGCCTTGGACTTGCAATCCTCCTGCCTGGGTTTCCCAAGTCATTTTTATTTTTTGTACTGAGGATTGAACCCAGGGGTGCTCAACCATTGAGCCACATCCCCAGCCCTATTTTATATTTTATTTAGAGATAGGTTCTCACTGAGTTGCTTAACATAACACCTCACTAAGTTGCTAAGTCTGGCTTTGATCCTCCTGGCTCAGCCTCCCAAGCCTCTGGGATTATAGGCGTGCATCACCGCACCTGCATATTTTTTATTTTGAGAAAAGATCTCACTAAATTGTTGAGATCCTCCTGCCTTAGCCTCCCAAGTTGCTGGTGTGTGCCACTAAGCCCAGCCTCTCTTTTTGTATTTTTCTTTTCTCTTTTACCTCTCTCTCTCTCTCTCTCTTTTTTTTTTTTTTTTTTTTTTGTTGTTGTAATTGCTGCTGGTTTTGTTTGCTTGTATGGTTGTTTTTGACAACACTAGAGATAGAACCCAGGGCCTCAAGCATGCTAGGCAAGATCTTTTTTTTTTTTTTTTTTTTAATATTTATTTTTTAGTTTTTGGCGAACACAACATCTTAGTTTGTATGTGGTGCTGAGGATCAAACCCGGGCCGCACGCATGCCAGGCAAGAGCGCTACCGCTTGAGCCACATCCCCACCCCGCTAGGCAAGATCTTTACCATTGAGCTACATCTGCAGACCTTACATTTCTCTATTTAGCATGTGCGTTACCTTTAAAAATGAAATTTCAAAGATAAATGTTGCTTTGCTTTACTAATTAAAAAGTTATGCTGAGCACCGTGGTTTGTACCTGTAATCCCAGCAACTAGGGAGGCAGAGGCAGGAGGGTTGCAAGTTCCAGCTTTACAACTTATCAAGGCCCTGAGCAACTTAGCAAGACTTTGGCTCAGTGGTTAAACACTCCTGGGTTCAATTCTTATTACCCTGCACCCCCCCCCCAAAATAGAACTTTTTGTAGCATTTAGAAAACTTATGTTCTTTTATTGATTCAGAGCTGTTTATCATTTTTTACAGACAACATAGTGTTCTTGAAGGTATTTATACTTAAGAAGGTATATTCATTGGGCTGGGGATATAACTCAGTTGGTAGAGTGCTTGCCTTGGGTTTAATCCCCAGCACCCAAAATAAAAGGGGTGGTGGTATATTCATTGAATAATAGCATTTGAAATCTGTTCTTTGGATTAATAATCAAAATAGATTTGCCTAAATTCATTCTAAATACTCTTCCTTTTCTTTGGAATATTTACAGGTTTACTTCATTTGTTTTAATAAATCATAATTTATGTGTTTCATTCTTTTTTAACATTTTATTTTTTGGAAGTAGTTGGAAACAATACCTTTATTTTATTTATCTATTTTTATGTAGTGCTGAGGATTAAACCCAGGGCCTCGCATGTGCTAGATGAGCTGTCTACCATTGAGCCACCATCCCAGCCCCATGTGTTTTATTCTTTTTGCCATAATATTATCTTCATAAATTATTGTAAAGAAAGTTACATTTTTTATACAAAAACATTTAGGGAAATGCCTTTTTGATCCAAAACAGCATTAAATAAATCATAGATACTATATTAATAAATCCCAATCCACAAGGTGTGGTGGCAAAAACCTGTAATCCCAGGGACTACAGAGACTGAGGTAGGAGGATCACAAGTTTGAGACTAGTCTCAGCAAGTAAGCAAAACCCAAGCAATTTAGGGAGAGAGACCCTGTCCTGTCTCAAAATAAAAAGGGCTGGGATGGGGGTAGGTGTTGTGGCTCAGGAGTCAAGTGCTTGCCTAGTGCGGGTGAGGTACTAGGTTCGATCCTCAACACCACATAAAAATAAATAAAAATAAAGGGCTGGGGTTGTGGCTCAGAAGTAGAGCACTTTCCTAGCATGACACTCAGTTCCATCCTTGGCACCACATAAAAATAAAAAATATAGTGTCCACCTACAGCTTAAAAAAAAAAAAAACTTTTAAAAGGTGTGAGGGGGGAGCTAAGTTAGATCTAAATATTTTATTAAATATAGTTTCACTTTTTTATCAAGAAAATAAGTTGGACTGGATACTCATCTTTTTGAGTTCTCCTGATAGATTTACAGAAAAAGGATGCATGGAACAAGAAGTATAAAAAGAAGTCAAAGTCCAGGTAAAATAGGGACATTGCTAGGCTTGGTTGTGCAAGCCTGTAATCTCAGTAATCTGGGAGGCTGAGGCTGGAGGATCAAAAGTTCAAGGCCAGCCTCAGCAATTTAGCAAGACTATATGAAAAATGAATAAGGAAATGTAGCTCAGTGGTAAAACACTGGGTTTGATCCCCAGTACCATAAATGGGGAGGGCATTAAAAGGACACAGTAGATTAAGGGTGTAGCTCAGTGGTCTAACATGTGGTTAGCATGCACAAGGCCCTGGGTTCAATCCCCAGTATTCTCCTCCCCCAAAAGAGGGACACAATACAAGAGATAAGATAAGATGTATGTTTCATGTCCTTGTAAACAAATAATAGCATTGAGGATGCAGACAAAAATCATGAGACCTAAATAGGCTGAGTAAACAAATGATCTGATGACAGCCTCAGAAGGCCGACTGGAACTGAGGAACAAGAAATGAAGATACTGTTGTGCCTTAGATATGAGGTATGCCCCAAAGCTCTTGTGTGAAACAACACAAGAATTTTCAGAAGTGAAATTTTGTTATGAGAGGTGTGACCTAATCTGTGAATTAATCCACAGATATGGGTCAACTGGACCAGAACACAAAATTTAATACTGTCAAGACCCCAAGGGTTGGTCACTGCTACTGTGACTTCTAGAAGCCCAGAGAATGTATCCTTCCCTCAGCTAAATGCTATAGTAGTGGTAAGGGAAGGGAATAAGAAACAAGGAAATGGGCATTCTGGAATGGATGTATTTTCTGAGATCAGAAAATCCAATTACAAAATGGGAAGAGACACTAAGAGCAAATAATCACCTAAGATAATGCAATGTTGCAGACACATACCTGGCTTATCTGTCTTGCAGCCATTCTTTTTTGGATGTTGGCCCATTTTCCCAGCCTGATGGTCTGGAATTTTCTGAGAATTTTGTCAGGCCWACTTGAAAGCAGAGACTCCAGGAAAGCCAGGGTTGATGAATCTTTGTGCCATCTTGCTTTCTTAGTGAGGTTGCATGCCTGGCATTCTGAGAGCCATGTTCTACCCAATACTATGAACTATGTTTTCATTTTATAGTTTTGTGCTTTTGTGCATCTGCTCACTGCCATGCTTGTTTTTCCAAAGCCTTTTTCTTTTTCAGCTCTGATTCTTTTTTCTTTTCCCTCTTTTCTGCCTCAAGTAGAATCCATCGCTTCTCCACCCTACTCCACTTTCCCCCAACATGTTGTGTACCTCTAGTTGCCCAGGCCTTGGAGGTGAATAGTGCTGGAGATTTACCTTTCTAGCAAGTTCTCCAAGTAATTTTGCTACCGAT